CTAGGTGTGTACTCTTGAGTCCAGAAGTCCCAGTTCTTGTCTGTCTCCAACCAGTTTAACACAAGCCTGACATTTTGTTGCTTGTTGTTGTTGTTGTTGTTCCTCTCCCCGCTTGTGTGTGTGTGTGTTTCAAGACAGGTTTCTCTGTGCAGCCCTGGCTGTCCTGGACTTGCTCTGTAGACCGGGCTGGCCTGGAACTCAGAGAGATCCCATCTGCCTCTGCCTCCCAAGCGCTGGGACTGAAGGTGTGCACCGCAGCTTGGTCTTCTGAATGAACCGAAGCTTTGTTGATTTTTTTCCTTCTCTGTATCATATATTTCTGCTGTAATCTTTGTTATTTCTCCTTCCCACTTACTTGAATCTATTTCAATCTATTTCTCTACTTTCTTAGGGTGGAACCTACGGCTACTGGTTTGAGATCAGTTTGCAATGCTTACAGCTCAGAGCTGCCCTCTGTGCACTGCTTTTGCCGCTGACCTGGCAGAGTTTTCCAGTGTCCCCTTGGTTTGTTCATCATCCCACTGAGTGTATATTTTCACATATTTGTGAACTTTCCAGGTTCCCTTCTGTTTACTTTTGCTTTCTATCCATCCTGGGCTATTTGGCTCCTGGTGAGTTGTCTGGCTTTATCAAAGCCTTGCTCCTGTGGTCACCTTCCTTAGGGAGCCTTCTTAGAGAAAACAGGGTGTTCTATGCCTTGTCATTCCCAGGACCAGAATCATCTCCTTTGTACGTGAATGGAGAGAAGAATCATTATTCTCAGGATTACTCAGTATCTGACCCCGGCCACTGCTTATCCACACTCCCTGTCCTAGGCTGTGAAGAAGTATGGAAAGTTTGCTCATTTACAAAACTTGTAGTCATAAGAGATCAACACACAGTCATTATTTCTGAGCAGGTATAAAATGTCACTTCAACAAATTCACTGTGTATGTGTAAAATGAATAAGCAGAAGCATAAATCAGGGATTTGTTAATGGTTCTTTTCAACACCTACAGATGCTGGGCAAGAATTTATTTTTAGTTATAATATACCTGAAATGTATTATATGCTTAGAGTAATAACCCATTTTTCTGGTAGTCATATTTTAGACAACATGAACATTTTGGAATACATCTGTGATCTCAAAAATGATTTATAAGATAGTTTCAGGTCTTTCTGCCCAACATTTATGCTTTCTCCTTTTGTAATCTAGGCAACTCCATGTATCTTTTAAAACTGGGTTTATATATGTCTCCTTACCCACCCGAGTTCTGGCTCTGAAGCACCATCCTACACACAGAATCATGCTTGTCTGCTCTGTGTACATCTCTTTCCCAGGGCTATGGACCATGTAGGGTCAACAGACTCCTCGGCAGGGTTCCCTTCTGACTTCCTAGTGTTCAGCCCTTTTACCCACTGGCAATTGCACTAGCTAGCTTGAGAGACCTTGGGATCTGGTGACGCAGACATAACACAGTCTCTCCACTGTGACAATTGTGACAATCCCTATCTGGCCAGTCCTTTGCTGCCAGCCTTGCTGGGATTCCAGGAACTAGGGGATGGGGGTAGGGCCTCTAGTGTTACAGTGAGTGTCAGTCCTGGATAGTGGACCGTGGCCCTACCTTCCGACCTCGGGGTGCAGCTGGCTTTGCCCAGAGCCCATTCCTTCTGGGTTGGAGGCTGTCCTGAGTGTTCTCAGCTCAGGCTGGTACATAACTGGACCTGATAACTACGGACTAAGTGAATCCAGGCCCATCCACTCCACTGTACCAGAGGGACCTGAGCTCTTCCTCCCTCTTCAGAAAATGGTAAAGGTCAATTGCTATGTCAAGAATACACATCTCTTTTTAAAATACAAACTTCTCACAGATACCAGATACAGTCATAACATTTCTTTTATCTAGACAAAGGAGCTCTTGGATTTCCGAGGGTACTAGGTACATAAGGCACCAGCTACAGGTAAACAGACAGTGTTTACAAGTGAGAGGCAGCCAGGGCCTGGGGTCTTAAGAAGTTCTCCTGAGACTTATACCCTCAGTGAATTGGCTCTAAGCCACCCAAAGCAGACTGGACTGTCCAGATTGTGGATGGAAGCAGTCTGGCTGCCTTGGCTACTCTTCCAGTTGCTGGTCTGTGGGCCAGGTCTCACCTTTGGGGCTCTTACGCTCCTGTTTCGTTTCGGTGTCTTCTGCTTGACACCAGCTGGCTCATGTTCTACCCTTGACTCTCACACTGGTTCTAACACTCACCTCCCACCTCCGGCTACTTTGGGGCTAACTGGCTTCTATCCACCTGCATGTTGATTAGTCACTGTCTACTCTCTGCTATGCTATGGTCAAGGTGGAGCTGAAGCCAGTAGTATAATATGCCACACTAGGATTTGCCACTGTTATGCTGTATATGACTAAATGGGCCTGGATTAGGTTCCCTTAGCAGGCACTGTGAATGTCTGTGTGTCGGTGCACATGAATGGTGGTTCCTGCTTAGGGCAGAGGCATGGGCTCCCCGGAAGCTGAAGTTACAGGTAGTTGTGAGCCACCCAGCATGGGAGCTGGAAATTAATCTTGAGTCCTGTGCAAGAGTAGTGCAATATTTTAGTCACCAAACCATCTCTCCAGACCCTGGTGAAACTTTTTTGATGTGACTTTTTTTTTTATTATTATTATTATTTTTTAACCATATAAATAGCACACACTAGCAATCAGATCCTCAAACCCAAGGAGTAAAAAGCCTCAATTCTTGGCTGGTTATATTCACTCACAGAAACCCTGAAAGTCAGAAGTAAATGACGTTGGAAGAGAGTTCATCACCTCATGGGACTGAAATGAACAGACGCTGTCTACACTGAATGTTAGTGCACAGGCTGGGAGGCCAACGCTTTTGGAGCATCACCACTGAGAAGTCCAACTCAGTGATGGGCCCAGGGCTCTGCTTGGCTTGTTTGAGACTAGGTCTCACTATAAGAATAGCCCGGGCTGGTCTCAAACTTACAGTCCTCCTGCCTCAGCTTCCTGAGTGCTGGTCAGGCACATGCTTGCATTTGCATGTTTAATGAGTCTCAGTTATTCTGATGCAGTTAGTCTTTGGATCACTGTTTGAGGAACCAGCAGCACACAGTGGAGTGACACACACAGGGACAGGCACAGTGAACACAAAACCTCAGCCATGACCTCTCTGAAGCCATGATGTACCTTGCCTGAGGGAGTTCATCTGGCTGCTCCTTTCCTAACAACCTTACTCGATGAGATTTGAGAGCCTCCCTCTTACTGCTGTTGGTGTAAGATGTCACCTTAGTTTTAATATCAGCTTGGGATTAGTGAAGACAGTGTGAACTTCCACGTTTCTAGAAAGAAGGTATTTTAGCAGGGTTTTGGAGAAACAGGGATACTAAGTTCTGCTTTTCTTTTGTTGGAGCGAGAAAGGCTATAAAGAAGACAATGCTATTTAAGTACAATACTACTGTCCTTCAGTATGGCTCTATAATATTTTCAAGTTTCATGATTTTTCCCAAATTAAACAAGTAAAATATTTTAAATGGATAATGACCATCTTGTCTTGAAATAAGGAGTGTGAAAACATCTATTTGATCCACAAAATCTTCAAATTAGCTCTGTGGCAACACATGTATCACTGGTGAGGAAGACATGTGCCTGAATGTTTTGATGCCCAGGAGCCAGGCACACCAAGAGCGGTGGAGCCCAGGAAACAGCTCAGGCTGTGCATTTGACTGGATAGGCCAAGTTTCCCTGGGCATTTCCCCAAGCAAAACTGGATCTCAAAACTGGGGATCTCAGGAAAATGGCTTAATTAGAAGGATTCTGATGGGGACAGAATGCTTTTGGAAACCAAGATGACAGAGATATTGATGGGCTATGACGTCCAGGAGGCCTGTCTGGTATTTGAGATGATGGAGTCTCTATTTGTCTCACGATGCTGCCTTCATTTTCTCACCACCGTGGTTTATGGCTTGCAGGGGATGTATGGACTGGTGGAGGCAGACATTCAGGGTTTGAGAGCCTTGCTCTCACTGCTGCTGTGATGTGTATGTGTGCATTCTTTTCCTGGGAGGATCTTTATTTTCCCTCCCAAATCTCCTAACTGGTTATGCAGATGTTTAATTGAGAAGGATAGCTATGAAATTACGGTTTGTTTGTTTGTTTGGTTGGTTGGTTGGTTTTTTTCCTTTTGAAACTTTCCTATCTGAACCACTTATTATCTCTCTTCTCTATTTATAAATGCTCCAAACATTATAAAATTTAAGTTTTAAAATGTAAATTTGCTAGGAGGCTTAGGTTCTAAAAGAAGTTATAGTGTGTCAGCTTCGAACTGTGTGACTCTATGACTGCTGAGATCAGAAAGAGCTGAAGTCAGAATAAGAAGCAGAATCAGCTGAGTGAGGCAAAGACACAGCTGAAGTACAGGGGAAGGATGCTCAAAGCAAGAGAACGTGGGAAGAAAGAGGCTCCTTTCTGGAATATTAGAAGATTCAAGAGGTCAGAGGCAGATTCTCCAGAAAATGCCTCAGGAAGTAATTAAAGCTCAACTATTTGACCAGAGCTTTGAGCAATCCCCTTCCCCCATTTTAACTGTGATTTGCTTTGATGGCTAGAACCAGAAAGGCAGATTTTACCCAGCTTATGTTTTTATTTCCTCAACTCTGACCCTTCTCTGTGGAATGCCTTGCAATGTTACTTACGGAAAAAGTGATAGTGCTTTAATTTCCAGCCCCATCCCCATCTGGCTGGGAAGAGGATCAATTAATATTATCATGTTTTGTCTTCAGGGCCTCTGACATCCCTGAGGACCAGCCTGTGTGGCAGCGCCACCACAGCGCTTCTCAGCCCGGATGGGGAGAGAGGACTCGGGACAAGGCCAGCTCCTGTAACACAGCTCAGAGCATACCACACAACTTGCTTCGAGGATGTTGGGCATTGTGCTTCATTAGGAAACAAAATATAAGCTTTCCACACCATTAGGGATGGCTTTAGGAGTGGAAAGCACATAAGACGGTGCCTCAC